AAAAAAAAAAAAAAAAGAATTAAAACACTTGTATACAATTTTCAGTTTCTTCTTACAAGTATTCAGTAGTATCCTTGATCATTTCTAAACATTAGTGTGCTGGGGAAATTCTCCCCGGAACCAGGATAATTTGGGGTTGTCCTGACACCTTTTCTCTCTTTACCAATCTCATGCTATTTCCCATTATATGACAGTGTAGGCAGACAGAGCAGCTTGTGAACGGTCATGAAACCTGTCCCATATCACCCTCACTGATGTTGTCTTTATTATTTAGAGGTGCTCAGGGCCCAAAGAGTGTGCCATTTGTACACACAAGTCACTTGAAACCCCCACAAGAAAGAACCCTGCTGGTTGGTCTTCTGGCTTCCACACCCTTCCCGTGGCTATGGGAAGAACTACTGTCCCTGCAGTCAGCAAGCCTCCCCGAGTGCCACCTCCCTTCAGTAACAAGGGCAGGGAGAACAGCTATGGAAGGTAAGAGGAAGGCAGTAAGATGAAGGGGAGACACACCTCCACTTTGGTGACAAAAAGCAATTTCTCTGATTCCTTGTCAAGAGACGAGGGTCCAACTCACTCAGAGACAGAAATCCCATTTAGCACCCCACATCACACAGGCTGGTCCTTTCAGTCCAAAGTGCTGTCTGAGGTCCCCCCCAGGGAAGTCTCGTAGGGCCCAGGATATGGGATCCCCCACTCTAGGCAGGTAGAAGCATGTGTGAGTCCCTGGATCCCTTCTCTTCATTCAGCAAATGTGTGGTGAACACCACGGGCCAGGTACTGGGGACCAACAGTGACTCGAGAGCATGCGTGGGACCAGGAGCCCCGGAAAAGAAGCAAGCCCGGGGTCTCCTCTTTCAGCACCAGGGGCCTACAGCAAGTCACTCATCAGTCGGGATGCCTCCATTTGGGAACAGGGAGGGCAAGCGGACTGCAGACTGCACATGACTGCTTCAAAACACAGGGGCCCTGCTGGTCATGCACCTGTCTGCTAACTGAAAGGTCAGGGGTTTGAACCCACCAGCCATTCTGTGAAGGAAGACGTGAAGGTCAGCTTTGTACAGATCACAGTTCTGGAGACCCTACAGGGCAGTTCCACTCTGTCCTGCAGGGTGACTGAGTCAGAATCGACACAAGAGCAGCAAGTATCAAAACAGGTAACAAATTATTAAATTCTTTTTAAATATCAGATGTCCAATAAGGGGAAAAAATAATTTCTAGGTTAAATTCAAAAGCCTTCATATCAAGTGGGAAGCGGGGCGGGTAGAATGGAAGACAGCAGAGAACCGTTATAGAAATAGCTGGGTTTTTTTCAGTTTGGCTTTTACAGGATTGAAGGCTTTTAGAAGGTCAATCTGTAGCCTTCTGGTCTTCCTCAGGCCCCACAAGTCAGGTGAGTTGCAGAGAAGTCATGCAATACTCAAGTTTCAGTTTGAGAAAAATATACAAAGGCACCCAAGAAGAGGTTCTATTTTCATTGGGCAAAGCCCGGCCACCATTCAAAGAGCACATGAGCTGAGAAACTCAAGAATACTAAACTCATTTATTTCTCAAAATTCAATTTTCAGCCAGCACTCCCTGCTACGATGGATGACCACGCAACATCCGTGAGGCCCAGTCCTCCACGTGTCTGGGCACTGTCCACCGGAGCTCGGTCCATCAAAAGTCCAAGAGAAATCTCCTGACCTGCGCCAGGTATTTTGGTTTCAGATAGTCACCCAGCTCCTCCTTACTGACCCACACATGCCGGTCCTTCTTCCCTTGCAGGGAAAAGTCTCCAGTTTGTAGCAGTGCTTTGAAGAAGAACACTTTGGCCCCAAGGTCACTCTCTGTCCGCATTGCCTGGGGGAACTTGAACTTGTAGTGGCCACAGGGTGCATTTCCTAAGAACTTGGCTTCAATGTTGTTTTCTGAAGAGGAAAAAACAAACAGATGTTCACTGTAGCGCCCCAAATCACACAGGGTCCCTGTGGGTTACACAGGTCTCCAGAAGGAAGAGCAATCTCTGTGTGTGATTTGAGCACTAAGCTCATTCCACAAAACAGCTTCCTCCTCTCTCCACTCAAGCATTTCCTGGCCTGTGGAGTCGAGGCTCCCAGGGCCAGGTCCAATGCTGCAAGCTATGCTGTTAGACAGGCAGTCAGGAACCAGGTACCCAGGTTGTAGACATAGCCCGGTCATCAGCTCTTGATGAAAAACCAGGGGTGCCATGTGGAAAGCATAAAAGAGCCCCAGATCTGATGGAATAAAATTTCCACAGGAAGAAAACACAACAAACAAAAAGATGAAGATAGTCTGCACAGATACTACTAACCCCAATCTAAAAATGGAAAGAGAATGAAATCACTGGCCATATGGGAAAATGAGCGGGCGCCTCTGTCATTCTCATATACCTTAAGGATCAAAGGCTCAATAACAAAAAGCTAGAGGTCATGAAAGGTTTTCTCTTTTTGGATGGTAATTTCAAAGGTGTTTAATATTTTCTACATTTTAAAAACTTTTCATTTAATTTTTTTTCCAAGAGGAAAATAAGGAATATGCCTAATTAAGACAACATTCAAAACACTGTAACAAGATTTGTATCTGTTTTGCATAAAAATTAAGTTATTTCTGCAAAGGACAATGGAGCGTAAAAAACCAAAATGACAAAGTAGAAATAATATTTTAGACACATTTAACAAAGAAATACTATTTCACCATGGTTAAGATGCTTACATACCAAACACTTAGAAACAAATGAGAAAAAAAAAATCCAAAGCAAAGTGAACTAAGCATATGAACAAGAAATTTATAAGAACCAGTATTGATAGCTTATTAACAAAACCCAATTCACTTCCTTTGAGTGGGAAATGACTCAAGAGCTGACCCAGATGGGTCTTCAAAAGCTGTAAACTGTACTCTCAGAGAATACATGTCCATCTTTCTCCTGTAGAGTAGCTGGTGGATTTGAAGTGCCTGCCTTTGGGTTGGCAGTATAACTCCTTACCCAGAAGCCTAATAGCTTACAGATACATTAAAAGATGCTCAATCTTATTAATATAAATTTAAGCAACATATCACCTTTCATCTATCATATATATAAAATTCAAAAAGCTTAAAAAAACACCCCAAACCCTTAAAATGTTTCAACTATATACTGCTAATGAGAAATACAAGTGCATAGTAGGATGCACTGCTAACCAAAAGGTCAGTGGTTCAAACACACCAGCTTCTCCGATGGAGAAAGATGGGCAGTCTCCTCCTCTTAACATTTACAGCCTCAAAAACCCAATGGATGATCAAGATAAGTCAGAATAGGCTCCATGCAATCTGTTATGAAAAAGAAGGGGAAAAACACTCATCTCCTCACACAGTGTAAGAGTGTAAATTACTTTTAAGTGCTACTTTTTGGAAGGAGACATCATTTTAATTGTACATACACTTTGACCTAGCAGCCCACTTCTAGAACCTTATCCTCCGGAATATGCCTGTTTGGCCATGTGAGCAACGAAGAGCGTACAGGAATGTTCACTGCAGATTAAACAAAGCACAGTCTGTCACGTCTACCATGTGTAAAACAGCATGCTGATATTAAAAAAGAAGTGACGTGTAAGACAGGCCTCTATATACTGAATGGAAAAAAACTGTAAACATTTAGGAGAGAAAAAAAGCAAAGTACAGGTTGCTGTTGTGAGGTGCCATCGAGTCGATGCCAACTCACAGTCCCACCGAGCAGAGAAGAATGCCAGGTCTCTCTCCCGTGGAGCTGAAGGCCACGTCTGAACCACAAACCTCTGGATTAACCATGTATTCAGCCGCTGTGCCGCCACGGTTTCTAACAAGGCACATAATAATGTGAACATACACTCCTTTTTACCTGGGAAGCAAAAAGCAGATCAAGCGGCATTTGCGTGAACATTTCTGAAAGGATCCACACACATTGCTAATGGTAGCTGCCTCTGTGGAGGGCAGACTTACTTTTTATTCTGCACTAGATCTGTTAAATGTTTGGGTTTTTATTTTTACCATATACATGAATAAAATATTTTGTATCCATATTGAAGAAATAGCACCATTAGCTTTTTTTATAAAAAGAGTTATCAGCTCACCTACCATACAAAACATTAGCAGTGGCTAGCTATAGGTGGCAGAATTCAATTGGCAAGTTTCTTAAAAGGACTCTGGGTTTTCCTAACATAATCTGATGATGTGCACATATTGTAGCTGTTAGGTGCCATCAAGTTAGCTTCAACTCACAGTGACTCTACATTCAACAGTATAAAGACCTGCCTGATTTCAAGGGGGGTGGGAGGGAAGCAAGGGATTAACAGTCCACCACATGACCAATCTCACTATCCGAAAAATGTTTCTCAAAAAAGATCACTTTGTGGCAAGGCCTGGACAAGCAGACACTGTCTAGTGCTCCTGAAAAGGGAAAGGGTGACAGATATTGAGAAGACAAGTGACAATATCAGTCAAAAATGGTTGGATTTATTTTTTCACTTTTTCTTGTTTATTACTAGTAACTATCAAATTCTTTAATGTGCACACCTTTGACTTATCAGTTTCAAGTGTAGGACTTCTTCCCTGTAGAAGCACTTGGGAAGTTTGCAGGCAGCGGGAAGGAAAGTCATATGCTTTCACTTTTGATATATTTTCAAATTGTTTGTGCGTCCTCTCTCACAGCTAGAATATATTATCTACCATTTATCGCAATAAAGTTTCTTTTAAAAAACTCATTATCTGCCACTTAATTTCTTCTCCCCTGGGTAGTAGAAACGGAAATACACTCTGCTGCTAACCCAAAGGGAGCAATTCAAGCCTATCAACAGGCTCCTTGGAGAAAAGATCTGGCCGCTTCAGAAAAACCAGCCACCGCAGAGTCTGCAGTACATGGTCCCACTTGTGCATGCACAGTCCTGGGACTGGTATTATGCTAGTAAATCACCATATTTTATTTCAATATACATTTATTAAGAGTAGACACATTTTTAAAATATCTTTTCTGAACTACCTTTCTCAGAGCACAGGACCAAGTCAAGATCAAGGGAGAGCACAGGATGGCCTCTGGTATTTTGTGAGCAAGAACTCAAGCTGGTGCCGAAGCAAATCCAAGCCCACCGCCACCAAGTCAAATCCAGCACCCCTGAGTCAGGTTCCCAACACTGTGAGTCTTTACGGAGGGGCACGGTCAGCTATCTTCTGTGGAGTTGCTGGTGGACACAAACCACCAGCCTTTGGGTTAGCAGATACTACACCAGGAGGGTGCCCTGAGGTGCCAGGACCCGTGATGTGACTGTGCACCTGAAACTCATTTCCTCAGCAAACACTCACAAGCACCAACTATGGTTCAGGTACCCAGCAGCTAAACATCCTACAAGGCACAGGCCAGCTTTCCACAAACAGGAATTATCTAGCCCCAGATTTCAGCTCTGTGGCTGCTGAGAAACCTTGGGCTAGTGAGGATTAGTAGCAGAATTCTCAATTTCCATTCAAGAGACACAGGCTTGATTCCTGGCCAATGAATGTCACTTATGTATAGCTGTCATTTGTCTGTCACCAGTGGTTTGTGTGATGCTATCCTCTGGTGGCCTAGTGCAAAGAAGCTGGGCTGCAATCCCAAAGGCCTGCAGTTTGAGTCCACCAGCTCCTCCACAGGAGGATGGGCAATCTCCTCCCATGCAATTAACTGCCTCTGAAAACCCACCAGAGGGTCAGCAATAGGTTGGTTCTGACTCAACAGTAAACAACAACAACATAACACTGAACAGTATCTGAGCTTCCAGACTAGGATGGACAAGGGGGAAAAGGCCTGGCAATCTGCTTCCAAAAATCGATGAATGGAAACCCTACAGATTTCAAGAGCCCACAATACAACCAGTTAGGAGGAGCGTGCAAGACTAGATAGCATTTTTGTGCTATCATGCACGAGGTGATGAGTCAGCGTTGACTAAAAATAGACAATAAGAAGTAAGTAGTGAAGAGGCCCCCAGCTAACGGTGTGAGAATAAAGAGGGAACGTTCAGAGCAACTAGGAAGAACTTGGGGCCTGTGTCAGGATGAGGTTAAGGATAGGTCTGTGGTTTTTAGCTGGCTGAAATGGTACGGGGCAGTACCTATAAGTATGACAGAAGCAGACGAGGGGATGGTGGAAACATCAATTCTAAATATGCTAACTTCAAGAAATTTGATGAGAAGGGAACTCTGGTGGCCTATTGGCAAGAAGCTGTGCTGCAATCTCAAAGGCACGTAGTTCGAATCCACCAGATGTTCCGCTAAAGAAAGAGGGGCAATCTCCTCCTGTAACAGTCAGATCCGATTCAACGGTACACAACAATGAAAAAAGGAAAGAAAGAAATTTGATGGGACAAATATAAGATTCTCACCTGGCTAGAGAAAACTCTTTAACTTGATTTCTGTAGCTAAAATTTTCTAAAAATCAATGTTTCTGTTAGCTTTCTCACCCACCCACAGTCCACCTGTGACCCCTCTGGCTCTGACCCTGAAGAGATACTGTGGAGTCTAACAAGAACTCAAGACTCACCTGACAGTGTGGCCAGGACTCTCTCAGCTGTTCCCCGCAGCGTCTCCCCAGGCTGCCACTCTGTCTGGGGCAGCATCCAAATATCCTGGTCTCCAAGCTTCTCTTTGACCAACAAGACGAGGTTCCTGTCTAGCTTCCGGTGCAGTGAGGTGCGGTCATTCTTCTCATCAGCTTCTGTGAAGAAAAGGGAGTCTGAGAAGGCAAAGAGTCTGTGATCTGGCAAAACCCTAGGAGTTCTGTAGCTTTCTTTTAAGGTAGAGTCACAACCCAAATGAAGAGCTTATATCAAACTCAGGCCCATCTTACTAACCTGGACCTCTTTCAAAAGCTCACCTCAAATCTGTGAGGAAATAAACACATAAGAGGAAATCAAGAGCTGAGCCGTTTTTAGAGAGAAAAATACAAAAGTACTTTTATGTCTTTGGGAAAGAAGCAACATGGATCTTAGCTGAAAGCAGGGAGTACCAGAAGAATGTCTATCTGTGTTTCATTGATTATGCAAAGGCGTTTGACTGTGTGGATCATAACAAACTGTGGCTGACTCTGAGAAGAATGGGAATTCCAGAACATTTAATTGTGCTAATGTGAAACCTATACTTGGACCAAGATGCAGTCGTCAGAACAGAGCAGGGTAACACCACATGGGTCAAAATTGGGAAGGGTGTATGCCAGGGATGTGTCCTATCTCCATACCTTTTCAATCTGTATGCAGAGCAGATTATCTGAGAGGCTGGGCTCTATGAGGAGAAGTGTGGCATCAGGATTGGTGGAAGATCTATTAACAATCTGCGTTATGCAGATGACACAACCCTGCTTGCTGAAACTGAGGAGGACTTGAAGTGCTTGTTGCAGAGGGTCAAGGACTGCAACCTTCAGTATGGACTGAGGCTCAATGTCAAGAAGACAAAGATTCTCACCACTGGACCAATTGGCAGCATCAGGATGGATGGTGAAGAGATTGAGATTGTTCACAGCTTTAGTTCGCTTGGCTCCACAGTCAACACTCTTGGCACTTGCAGCCAGGAATCAAAAAACGTATTGCAATGGGAAAGTCTGCTGTTAGGGACCTCTCTAAAGTACTCAAGAGCAACGGTGTCCCTCTGGAGACTAAGGTGCGCCTGATACAGGCCATGGTCTTTGCAATCACTTGTTATGCATCAGAGAGTTGGACAATGGCCAAGGAGGATAGAAGGAGAATATTGATGCCTTTGAGCTGTGGTGCTGGAGAAGAGTACTGAATGACTGCCAAGAAAACAGATTCATCATGGAGAGGTTTAAACCAGGCTACTCCTTGGAGGAAAGGATTCTGGGGCTTCGTCTAACATACTTTGGACATGTTGTAAGGAGAGACAGGTCCTTGGAGAGGGCCATCACGCTTGGTAGGGTGGAGGGACAGTGCAGGAGGGGAAGACCCTCTATGAGGTGGATTGATTCAGTGACTGGGGTAATCGGGATGGGTGTGTCAGAGGCAGTGCGAATGGCACAGGACAGAGCACGGTTTAGGGCTGTTGTACATAGGGTCGCTATGAATCACAAACAACTCGACGGCACATAACAACAACAGCACTAATTTTGACACTGTTATAACTAACCCTCACATCAGCTGTTTTTGAGGCTCTATCTGTGAAATTGGGGTAAGTGAATACAACCCCACTTCATCTGAAGGTCTTCAGATATAACAGAGACTACTGATGGTAAAAGACTTCAAACTCAAACAAGGAGTTAAACTCAGATCTAACATTCACAAAGTTTAACAGAGAGAGAGGACTATCCCAACACTGTCACCCACTTTAGAATAATGTACATTGGGATAGGCATGAGGAATAGGGAAATTTTTTTTTCCTATCTGAAAGAAACTATGTTATTTGAATTTACATGTTACTTAAAATCCAAAGCCGGTTCTAAGCAATTGTTCTTTATTTTAAAACCAGAGCCCACCCCCTTCTTTCGCTTCCCTTGTGGCGGCCTGATGAGGCCACAAACCTGTTACGCGAGCTCCAGGTTTGAACTGCTGAAATGACTGGTCCCACATATCTTCCAAGTCCTGCACCAGCAGTATCTCCTGGTCATCATCTTCATCATAGAGGTCGCCTTTCTTCTTTGCTAATCGCTGGGCTTCTTCTAAAGCACGCAGCTCGTGGTCTGAATACAGGCTTCGTTCTTTCTCAATCTAGGAACATTACGTTATCAGGACAAATAAAACAAGCCCTTGCACACTTGTAAGTGTATCAAATACAACACAATACAATTGAAAAAAAAAAAGAAGCAAAAGGGTTACCTGCACTTCAGCCATTAGTTGTTAGGTGCCATCGAGTCAACTACAACTCAAAATGACCCTGAGAACAAAAGATCTGAACCTTGCTCTAGCCTGTGTCCCCATCATCTCTGATATACATGAGCCCACTGTTTGTTATACTCACGGTGTTGATCCATCTTGTTGAGGTCCTTTCTCTCTTTCTCTGTCCCTCCACCTTTCCAAGCATAATGTCCTTTTCCAAGGACTGGTCCCTCCTGACAACATACCGAAAGTATGTGAGATGAAGTTTCATCATCTTTGCTTCTAAGAAGCATGCTGGCTGCACTTTCAACAAGACATAGTTGTTTGTTCTCTTGGAAGTCCATAGGGTATTCGGTGCTCTTCTCCAACACCACAACTCAAAGGCATCCATCCATTCTTCTGTCATCCTTAGTCACTACCCAACGTTTAGATGCATGGGAAGCAACTAAAAACACCATGGCTTGGCTCAGGCGCACCTGATTCTTTAAAATGGCATCTCCACTCTACAGCACTTTGCAGAGGTCCTTGACAGTGGATTTTTCCCAATACAACCTGTCTTTTGGTTTCTTGTCTGCTGGTACCAAGGGTATTGATTGTGGATCCAAGTAAGATGAAACTGTTGACAACTTCAATCTTTCATCTGTCAAAATGTTATAATGTGACAGAGGTCAAGACTGTAACAAAGAATGGAGGACTATGACAGATACTTCTTATCACTCACCACATTTCAGCCACATGAGTTTTTAAAATCAGACTATTCAGTGTTAAGGATTTTTCTTGCTTCTTAACTTTACAGATGCTGATCCTTCTTCTGTGGTTTGGCTTTTTTTAACTCACACTCTTCTACTGTTGTCGTTACATGCCATCAAGTGGGAAATGATTCATAACTGGTTTGTCAGAGGCTGTAAATCTCATAGGAGGAGACTCCCCATCCATGCCCTCAGGAAACACTCAGGCTGTATCTTCTCCAAGACATATCTGTTTGTTTTACTGGCTGTCCATGGAACAGCACTCTCTGCCAACACAACTCAAAGGCATCAATTTGCCTCTGTCATCCTTATTCACTATCCAGCTCTTAGAGGCATGGCAAGTGAAATGAAAAGCCCATGGCTTGAATTAGGCACACCTTAGTCTTTCAACTGACACTGCTGTTGCTCCCCAGTAATTTGAAGAGTTTCATGACTGCTTATACATCTCCTGATTTCCTGACTGCTGATACCAAGGGTGTTGACTGTGAATTGAGGTAAGATGAAATCATTCAGTTTCAATCTTTCCTCCATGAATCATGAAGCTGGCTATCACAAAGTTTCTTATTATTCACAGGTCCACTATGAGTTGTAGCCAATTCAACGGTACTGAATAACAACAAAAACTTCCTTGATGATATGGATACTGATAATAATACACTTTTCCTCCCTCTGGCAGTTAAAAAAAAACAAGGTATGACACTATCACATCATTTAACACTACCAGAAAATGAAAATAATGACTGCACATTAAAAATTCTTAATATACTTAGAGTACCCTGGATATGCTCACCACGTTGTGCCAAGAAATATGGAGAACTACCACCTGGCCAACTGACTGGAAGAGATCCATATTTATTCTCATTTCAAAAAAAGGCAATCTGATGCAGTGTGGTAATTATTGAACAATATGATTAATATCACATACAAGCAAGATCCTGTTGAAAAGTATCCCAAAACAACTGGAACAGATGTGCAAGCTGGGTATAGAAGAGGCCATGGCACTAGGAACACTACAGTCATGTTAGATGGATCTTAGTGGAAAGTAGAAAGTACCAGAAGAATGTCTATCTGCATTTCATTGACTATGCAAAGGCATCTGACTATGTGAATCACAACAAACTGTGGCCAACTTTGAGAAGAAAAGGAATCCCAGGATACCTGATTGTGCTTATGCAAAAACTATACTTGGACCTGGAGGCAGCCATCAGAACAGAGCAAAGAAACAGTGCATGATTCAAAATTAAGGACGGTGTACACCAAGGATGCATCCTGTCTCCGTACCTTTTTCATCTATATGAGGAACAGATCATTCAGGAGGCTGGGCTCTATGAGGAGGAATGTGGCATCAGGATTGGAAGAAAACTCATCAACATTCTTCATAATGCAGATGTAGAACTTTGCTTGCTGAAACTCAGGAGGACCTGAGGCATTTGCAGCCTTCAATATAGACTGAAGCTCAACATAAAGAAAACAAAGATTCTCACCACTGGGCCAGCTGGCAGCAGCATGCTAAGACAGCGAAAAGATTGATAGTGCTAACAGCTTCAGCTTGCGTGGCTCCACAATTAACACTCTTGCTGTCTGGAACCTCTATAGAGTATTGAAGTGCAATATGTCAGTCCAGAGACTAAGGTGCACCTGATCCAGGCTACATCTTTGCAATTACTTGCTAAGCATCAGAGAGTTGGACAATGACTAAGGATGTTAGAAGAATCAATGTCTTTGAGTTGTGGTGCTGGAGAGGAGTACAGAACATACCCTGGACTGTTTGTTAAGAAAACAAACAGGTCCATCCTGGAGATGGTAAAACCAGGATGCTTTTTGGAGGCAAAGATTTTGAAGTTCCATCTCACATACTTTAGGCATGTTGCCAGGAGGGATCAGTACTTGAGAAAGATTGGAAAGGTGGAGGGAAAGCACAAGAGAGAAATCCTGAAAGACTGACTCAATGGCTGGGGTAATGGGGGTAAATGTGTCGGGAACAATTAAACTGGCTCAAGGTAGGGCATGATTTAAAGCTGTTGTACATAAGATCACTGTGAGTCACAGGCCACTCAACTGGCACATAACAAGATTAGATAGTACCTCTGATACATAGATAGGTTTGGTGTACTCAGAAGGAGTTGCCCTGCTAACCCAAAGCCGATAATTCACTGGTAGCTCCTCAGGAGAAAGATAGACACTCTCCCATGTGATTTACATTCTCCCAAAAACCTACTGGAGTGTCAGCTACGAGTTAGTTCAGACTTGACAGCAATGAGTTTTGATACTCCAGGAGGCTGAAGATCCGGAAATATACCTTCCTTATTCCTCACTGCATCCACAGCACTGAGTCTGATGATACATAGTAGGCTGACAATAAATATCTGAGTCAGTAAATTAATAAACCAAGTAAAAAAAAACATGGAAGAGAAGCTTAAGGCTCTCCACAATAAGACAGAATCATTTTGGCCTCTGGCGAAATACATTCCTGTTGAATAACCATCTGGAGGACTTACAAGCCTCACAGACACCACTCTCAGTTTGTGTCCATGTCCCTCCCTGAGCTGTCACGGATAACCCTGTGAGGTATGGCAGGGCAGGTTTTCTCACAGGCATCGTGTAGAGGTGTCCACCCTTCTTCCTAACACTCACCACATCGCAAAGACTTTCTTCCCTTCAGACTGTCTGCTCAGCAATACAAATGGAGTCAGTCTTTTTCACATTGCTTTCTAGGGTTTTGAATGAATAAAAGAAAGAGCACATCTCTAAGGAACTGAGCAAAATGACAATGAACTACGTTTCATTGAACACTTACGTGCATCAACTCAGGAAACTAGTTAAATCTTTATAGTAAGTATACTGAGGTTCAGGGAGTCCTGCCAGTGAAGTGGTTAGGTTCTTGGAACCATCAGCCATTTAGTGGGGTGGGGGTGGGGGGAACCCGGCCAGACTACTTCTGGAAAGTTACATCAGAGGTCAGTGTCATCTTGCTTGGATCAACAATCAACACCATTGATAACAGCAGTCAGGAAATCAGAAGATCTATATTGCACTAGGCAAGTCTGCTGTTAAGGACTTCTCAAAAAAATATTTAAATAGTGCCACAATGAATGAATGGAAATCCAAAACCTCTGTAAATGTTCATTAAAATGAATAAAATTTAAGAAAATATTTAAGAGCACTGATTTAGGGAGGGATGGGTAAAGGAAATGGGACAGATCCAGTTTGAGCAACAATGTATTCAAACTTTGTAAGGAAATCAACATAAAACAAACATTTTACTAATTTTTTTAAGGAGCAATGACGTCAGTTTGAAGATCAAGGTGCACCTGATTCAGGCCAGTCTTTTCAACTATTTGCTATGCATAAGAGAGCTGGACAGTGAATAAGAATGATGTAAGAATTGTTGCCTTTGAGTTGTGGTACTGGAGTCTTCCCATGGGCTGCTAAAAGAACAAATGGGTAATGTAGCTAGGTGAGGCTATTATTCCTAGCACAAGGTCATCATGCTGGGACAGGTGGAGGGTCTGCAACGTCGAGGAAGGCCCCCAACGAGAAAGATGGATACTGACTGCAACACTGGACTCAAGTGTGGCAGAGATAATGAGAACGGTACAGGACAGAACCAAGTTCAGAGCTGTTGTTCATAGGGCCGCTATGAGTCGTACTCGACTCGACAGCACCTAATAACAACAAAGCCAGTTCTACTGTCACACTGGGTAGCTGTGAATCAAAATCAACCCGAAGGTGTGCAAAAATGAAATGACTTCCCCAAAATCACATAGACTAACTTTCCAATGGTCACCCAGGTCTGACTATACTGTTTCTATACGCCAGCCTGGAGTCGCCGTCAGCACTTCAGCCCTACCTGCTTCAGAAGAGCCTCCATGTCCTCCTGCAATGGAGTCAGCGGTTTCGAGACCAGCGGTGGCCGCTGAAGGCACAATGCACCCAACAGGCGCCATGGAGAAAGACTTTTCGGGGCTGCGGCTTCAAGTGCCAGGCTGCGAACACCTAAAGTGCTCGTCGAGATGCCCTCCAATCGTCTCCAACTCCTTACCGTCCCTAGGAAGGCTCGCGCCATAGGCGCCGCCATCTTTCCACACTCCCACAATGCACCGTGGCAACCGAGTCCTGCAGCCAATCTCGTGTTCCCACAAGGCAGCGGGCTGCCGGAGCGCGCTGTTGGAACGAACCATTCCACGATGGTAGGGGTGACCAGAGTCTTATTATGTTAGCCGTTTTAGGGAAAAGGAAAAGCAATTGAAACCGAAATAATAGTTTGACATAATTTAAGTTGCGTATGTCTCTTTTATATATCCTCGTAATATCGAGGATCTTGTCTGTCACACAGAATGTTTCCATACCCACTAAAAGCAATGATGAACTGCTTAAAAGAATTTCATTTTCCTTCCTGCATCTCCCCCTAAGACACTTGTGGTGCGGCGGCCAATGAGTTTCGGCGTCCGGGCTTCGGGAACGCGGCGGACGGGAAGCGGCCGGGATCAAATCAAACCATGCAGGTTGTTCGGGCAGCAAGTTTTCGCTTCTTGAGGTCATGGGCTTGGCCGCGGTCAACTGGGTAAGCGTAGTTATTCTTTCGAGCCGATACCACCCCCTAGGCTCGTGTCCTGGAGCCTCCTGAGCTCCCCTGACCGTTAGTCCTGGACCTCACTGCACTTTCCTTCTCCGCAGGGTAGTGGCCGAAGCGCCGACCCGCAGTGTCCACACAGGTGCCCAACAGCTGCAGGAAGCGGCGGCCGAGACGGAAACTGAGGAGACGCCCGCAACTCCACGCCGCAGCAGCTTCAGGTGAAGGTCACCTGGGTGAGGTCCTCTCCAAAGCACCCTGTGTTCTTGCTCGTCACTATCCCGAGTCCGAAAAGCCATGCATTATCGTCTTCCCCGTGTGTCATTTATGCATGACCTTTTGTAAATTAAATCTCTGACTTTCTCTTTAAAATATGGATAATACCGAAGGAGGTTGTCCTGAAAAATAAAATTAAATGAGCCATGCCACAAAGTAAGATGGACACTCTCCCATGCAATTTACAGACTCCAAAATCAGGTCAGCTACAAGTCAAAATTCCAACTCCGCAGCAGTGAGAGTAAGTGAATGGACGGACAAGTAAAGGCCTGCAGTGTGAGAGACCACCGTGTCTCCAGGTAGCTCAGTGATGCTCAGGGTAAGTGGGCACACTGGTGGTAGATGAGAAGAGCAAAACAAGATACAGTCGTAATATCGAGGATCTTGTCTGTCAAACAGAATGTTTCCATACCCACTAAAAGCAATGAGGAACTGCTTAAAGAATTTAAACTATGATTCTGTTGTCTTTCACTCAGCAGTTCCAGGCACTATATTAATGGAGCTGCATCAGCAGTAGTGTTTGCTTTATAGAACTTTAAGTCCTAGTTGGAGAGACATAAGATCATGTCAGGTGGGAGGAATGTTCCTGTTGTTTATGGAGGAACAACAGAAAGACCAAAGTGAAGTGAGAGAAAAATACAGTAAACTCTACTAAAAACTTGAATCAGTGTAAGATGAAAATCCATCAGAGAGGGCGAAAATATATATTTTCCACTTACTGAGTGATAGGAAAGTGGTAAGGCATCAAAGGGGGAAAACTTCAGTAATAGAAAAACAGGGCAGTTTTGTGGCATTCTGGCTCTGAGAGGTTCCACTGTGGTGGTGGTGTTAAATGTCATCAACTTTGATCTGATTCACAGTGACACTGTGTGCACAGAGCAAAACACTGCCTGGTCCTGGACCCTCCTTATAAACCTGTGTTCAGGCTCTTTTTATTGTGTCGTTCCATCTCATTGAGGGTCTTTCTCTTTTTTTTTCACCCACTCTGCCTTGCAAAGCATGATGCCCTGACTTGTCCCTCCTGGTAACATGTCTATAGTATGTGAGACAAAGTCTCTCCATCTTCACATTTAAGGGTCATTTTCCCTGACCTTCTAAGACAAAATTGTTTCTGCTGGCAATCCATGATATTATACATATTCAGTAGACCTTGATAATTCTGTAACTGATATGCGTTGGTTCTTTATCTTTTATTCTTTGTCCCATTACGTGCATGTGAGGCAATTGACAATATCATAACTTGAGTTATGATATCAATCAGGCCTCAAAGTGATATCTTTGCTGTCATATCCTTTGATGGCTGATTTATTCATTCCATATTTATTTTGTATTGATCCATGTTGTACAATATTCCACGAATTCTTCATCAATATTTTTAGTGATGTGTATAGATTGTATAGATGTTAATAGTTTCTTGAGCCATTCATGTGGCTCATGGGATCATGGATTGTTCCCAGCACTTTCCTGTTGTAATTAATGCTCAAGTAAACATGGATGTGCCCCTGTCTATTCATGTGGCAGCTCTTTCTTCTTTGAGATACATACCTGGTAGTGAGATTGCCAAATCAAATGATATTTCCATTCTCCACAGTGTAAAAAAGTGTCCCAGTGCTTTCCCTAGTGGTTGTTTGGCTTTACATTCCACTCAGCAGTATAAGAGATGTGCAGTGTCTCCACACCCTCACCAGTGTTTACTTATTGTCCAATTGACCTTTGCTGTTGTTGCTGGGAGTATCTCTATTGTTTTGATTTCCATCTCTATAATAGCTAATGACCTTGAGCATTTCTTCATTTGTTTCTTGGCTATCTGCATGTCGTCTTTAGTGAAGTACCTCTCCATTCATTTGCCCATTTTGTAATGGGCTCGTTTGTCTTTTTCTTTGAATTGTTGTGAGTTTTAGAGATGAATCCCTTATAATATGTGTCGTTGCCAAATTTTTTTCCAGTGTATAGGTTCTCTTTTTTACTTTTTTGGAGAAATCTTTGATTTGCATACAATTTTTGTTTCATATAATTATGTCTGTTTATTTTATGACATCATTTATGTTGATTTTTAAGACATCCTAATCATCTAATTTAGCCTCTGTTAATTGTGTATTTTCAGTTACACTTGACAGTCTCTTTATGCCTACAAGTTTGCCTTGATTTTTTTGTTTTGTTTTGTTTTGGTTTTTTCGTTTTTTAGGACCTTGACAGTTTAGATTTTTACACTTAAACCCTTGGGCCATCTTGAATTAAGTTTTTGTATATGACATGCAGTATGCATTATGTTTCAGTTTTCTGCAAATAGATACCCAGTTTCACGAGCACTATTTGATAAGCAGGCTGTTGTTTCACTATTTAATAGAGTTTGTCAAAAGTTAGTTGTCCCTAAGTGAATGGATTTATTTCTTGGTTCTCAACTCATTTCCATTAGTCTGTGTGCCAAGCTATTTGTTGCTGTATAGTGGGTTTTCAGATCAAGAAGTATAAGGCCTCATACTCTCCATTCTAAATAAAGTTGGCGTCTTTTTCTCTTTCTGAAATAATGACAGGTGCTGGATCAGGATTACATTGTATCTATAGATCACTTTTGTTAATTTTACCATTTTCACACTGTTGTCTATTCCAGTCAGTGAGCATGGTATACAACCAGAACAACTTTGAGTTTCTTGTAGTGGAGTTTTCTTTGCCTATATCTTTTGTATCTCCAATTACATTTCTCCTAAATATTTCATTATTTGGGTGCCTATTGTAAATTACATTGTTTTCTTTATTTCCTTGTCAGAGTTTTCTTTGTTACTGTATAGAAATCTGATTGTGTGTTGATCTTGTACTCTGACACTTTGCTGAAGAGGCTAATTGCTGGTGCTATTTTCTTCTGTCAAGTTGGAACAACAATGCACAATGCAAACCTGAATTTCAGAATCATCTCAGGAACAGGTCTGAGGCCTTGAACACTAATGAGCGAAGACCAGATGAGTTGTGGGAGGATGTCAAAGGTATTATCCAGGAAGAGTGCAAACGGTCATTACAAAGACAGAAGAGGAAGAAAAGAAAATG